GCTGCTCTATCCTGAGCCAACCTTATTGCCTCTGTCACACCTACCCCCATGATCCCAGTTACTGAGTCAATCCATCTCATTGAGGGGCTTTCCCTCCTGAGCTGTCCCTCCATCCTCCCAAGCATAATGTCCCTCTCTAAGGACTGGTTCCTCATTGTAACATGCGAATTAAATAGCTATGGATAAAAATGATAAAATGAAATAAAGTCATAAAAATGACTTTATGACTCTTAAGCACAAGAGTGACAGCCTTTCTGACCTTCTATTCCTTTATCAACATGACAACAATAATTTAGTCAACTGTGCAGCTTTATGTTAAGGAATGAAATGTCTATGACAGGGTCTTGCTCACAGTAACTGTTCAATAAATAGGGCACCTAAGCAAGGTAACTGCAGTAGCCTGGTGGGTAAGAGGTTTGATGTTATCCTAAAGGCAAGTGTTTCAAATCCCCCAGTTGCTTCTCAGGAGAAAGATGGGCAATCTCCTCCATTGTAACAGCTAGCCTCTGAAAACTGGCTGAAGGGTCAGCTATGAATATGATTTGACTTGATAGCAATAAGTTTTGAGAAGCCAGGGAAGACCTTCAGGGTATTTTTAGGAATTAACAAGGAAAGGAGAGTGGAGAAAAGTAATTTCCAATAACAGGAGCATTGTAAACCAAAGTGGGCAGAGGGGTAATTACTTCAGTGTGGCGGCAGCTCAGGTAAAAGATAAGGTTTTTACTTGAATATAAAGTTTTGAATTATGCACACATATAAGGGCTTGACTTAAACTTTTACATATGAAGAATTTTAATATAAATTTTTTTCATTAACAAATGGTGGTTATTACTTCCCCTCCTTCTGTGTGTTTTGTTATTGTTTACAACAACTTTAATTCCTTAATGGCATTCAAAATGTTGTTGACAATATAATTTCACTCCTGCTTCTGTTGGACTACATATCTTTTTTTAATAATTGTTATCTTCAGTGTGGTAGATGACCCATTTCATTGGAAAAAATGACAACAATGTTAATCAGTGTGGTAATAAATCATGCAGCCATGACTTGCCTTCTGTGAATGACAGGGTCTGTGGGGTTTAGGAAGCAAGTATCTGAAGATGTATCAATTCCTTCTCCTGGAGGTAAGAGGCTTCTTTACAGAAACACAGACTTAGTGTCTGAAATTAGGCTAGAGAAGAAGGTTGTCTGGAGGACTTGGAGAAGCCTACCTATAGGAGTTAATTTAACCTTCATCTTCTCTCTCTTTTCTCTGGCTGAAGGGAGCTGGGTAGTGTAGATTGGACGATGTTGCCCTGCTAACCAAAGGCTATGTGGCTCTGTCATTTTAAATCCTGATGCTCTGTGCGAGGGAGGTGGGAAATTTCCTCCTATAAATATTTACAGGCTCAGAAACCCGAGGGAGGGTCACTATGAGCTTCTCTGGAATTCAAGAGGCTTCTTTGCACTGTAGGGAGGGTCACTATGAGCTTCTCTGGAATTCAAGAGGCTTCTTTGCACTGTAGGGAGGGTCACTATGAGCTTCTCTGGAATTCAAGAGGTTTCTTTGCACTGTATCTTTCAGATATTAGAAGGATCAGCAATGCAAGAATTGCTGGAACTTCAGTGGCATGGCTGAGAATCAAAGGGATGGCCTCCTCCTATCTGGGGCATACGGACTATGTAGACACGGACTTTAACAGAAGACAACACTGTAGGGAGGGCTGCTAAATGAGAAGTCAGTTTTGCCACAAAAACACTCCTAGCCTTTAAATATAATGACTTTCCAGCATTGACTTTGCACATCATAGCATGTTTTCATTTTCTCTAATAATCCCGACAACCTCTGGGCTAAAAAAAAAAATGCTTTTCCATCAGCTAAGTAAATCATCATTTTTTAGCAGTTTTAATTAACCTCTAGGCCCTTTAAATGACTTTCATTTTTCTTTGTCCTGGATATCTTTAGATGACAGGTAAAAATATCTGCTCTTGGAGCTATAGGAGTTAAAAATTATTGCTCTGAAGGGAGAATACTCTTGATTTAGTAGAATTTTCATTTTACCCAGTTTATTTTAAATGAAAATAATAGCATTAAAATCTGATAAGGTCACTGCTAAACAGTGCAGGAACCAAGTAGTCTTCGTATGCCGTATCAACAGTGACAAATAAACAACAGCAAAAAGCAAAGTAAGTAATGATGAAATGAAGAAGAATAATGAATATTTAAATGGAATCAAAGGTTTTTGGAAACTAGGGTCACATTCTTAGAACAAAGTACGTTCCTGTGACAAGAAGAGAAAATGGCCAGACGCTACTTGTTCACATGTACAACAGGACGAAAGAAAATGTGTCGGCTAAATAGGTCAAGGCTGACCTTCCTGTCCTCTTAGTTGTTCTTTGCCTTCTGATTAACCTGTATTAAACTCAATTGATAATTACAACTATAGACTAAATGGCATCGAGTTTATTATTACCGTCTCCCAGCCTATTCTGCAGATAAAGGAACTGAGGCTCAGAGTGGCCAACTAACTTTCTCAAGGCCATGTGAGTGTCATAGTCAAACTCTTTCTTACTCCAAAACCATATTCTTTAACAGTTATACTGTATTGCTTTTGACCAATGACAATCCTGAGGTAGGTAGAGAGTGAGAAACCACTGCTACATTTGTATATAAAATTCTATCTGCAACCCTAAACTGTAGAGCCTTAACTTTTGGAATTTTCTAGTCCCTCTCCCTACCTCTTCACCTTTCCACAGTTATATATTCCCCATTTGAGGATGAAGCAAAGTACAGGAACAGAGCACCTAAAACTAGCACCTCTCTAAAGCTCCTATTTCATGAATGACCAATTTACTAACCCATATATTCAAACCTGAAAAGAATCAGCAATATTATCACTTTTTGGACCCTCATTTGACCCAACTTACTCCATAGAGTCAATGATTTTTTTTGGCTCCACAGGGCAGGCATAGATCACTTCATCAATGTGTTTCAGGTTACAATTTGAGTAGGCTGTAGACATATGGATGAAGGCTTCCAGTTTTGTCATCTGATTGGCCATAAGCAAGAGCTGCTGGGTAGCAATGACATTCAGCTGTACAGCATATCTGGAGAAGAACAGCAGAAGGAGAGGCATTGAGGGAACTCAACATCTAGCCTTAATACACTTGCATCTACTCCAGTAACAGTATACCAAATAGATTCTACCTTCAACTATGAGGAATGAAAACATGTGTCAAAGCTGAAATTATGTGAAACTTGGAATGTTGATGACATATTCTGCATACATAAATCTATTTATGATTTATAATCATCAAATAAAAAAGTAAGATCATGTTAAAAAAAGAAGCCTGAACACAACAAATACACAGTTGACAATTCTACCTTTGATCATTTACTCAAAAGAGAGACCACAAAAGTATTAAATAAATGTATGCACAAAGATGTCTATTGCAGAGTTGTTTGTAATAAAGTAGAACGACTTAAACGTCAGTTTAAATAGTTCTTGTTGAGAATATATCATAACACAGATGTATAATGAAATGCCATGTAGTAATTAAACACAATGACAAAATATTTTTTGACAATGAAAGATCCCCCCCCCCCCAATATGCTTGTGCTGGTTACAAAGTATCGGGGCTGCAGAGCCCTTTCCTTCCTCTCCTGGAGTGGCTACTGAAATGATCCAATCACAGGAAGCAGCAGCTGTGCTTTTTCTCTCTGTCAAGGATGTGAAACCCTGCCTTTCCATCTATAGTTATCTGAGACCCCAGCCCACTTCCCTATCTTGTAGAAAACATCTGTGAGCATCCCCTTCCCCAAGTTCCTTGTAAGATAATATAAAACCCCTCTCTGACTTTTAGTGTGGGCTGGTCTTCTGCTTGAGAGACAACCAGACAATTTCTCCTCAATAAACTGTCTTTCTTGGCCTGAATTGGGTTCTATCCTTCCTCGCTGACCTTACACAAATGTCCTTCTCAATACAATGCTATCTTAATCAATAATATATCTATATTTTATGAATGCACAATGAAAAGTTGAGATGAACGTTCTCTTACAATGTTTCATGATCACTGCAGGATGGAGAGATTTTAGAGAAGCTATTCATTCTTCTTTATGGATATTCAGATTTTCCCATTGAGGAACATAACATTACTTCATAGAAACAATTAAAAAATCCTATATACACAAGCCCCCACATGCATAACCCCCCCCCCACAATAAGTAAAGGGGAACATACCTCAGATGGACATCAAAGCGCACAGTGGCAGCACAGTGGAAGATAATATTTGTACAGGATAGAAGCTCTTGCAGGTCCTCCTTGCTAATGGCTAAGTCACTCTTACTGAGATCTGCGTAAATAGCCCTGATCTTCTCGTGCACGTTGGGGCAAGTTTCTTTGACTTTTTCAAACAACTGAAACACATTTATAGAACAGCACACAGAGATTACCATCACATTGGTCATTTTTTCCGCACTGCTTCATTTCACTATATGGCTGAATCGTTTTTATTGTATTCATAACACCCAGGAAGGCATGAGTAGCCATCTGCTTCGTTTCATACAATTCAAAGCTACAATAGCTAACTCCCTCTCAACTTAATGAACATAAGGGAAAAAAACCACCTCATTAGTTCAAATACCAGAATGACAAGACCTGCATTTGAATTCCTGGGGCTGGTAGTCAACCATCTGCACTCTACTCTTGTCTCCACATGCACTTTAAGGTAGCTTTGGTTTATATGTGGTTATAAATTTCATTTTTTGGCAGAGAAATGATTGTTGTTGTTGTTTTTTAATCAATTTTTGTTTTATACTTGATTGTGTACAAAGTTTGTATACATTGTTATTCACACCAGATCTTGAAATGATTGGTTTTGTGAAAAATGACCAGATTTTACACAACCTTTCCAATTATCAGTCTTTCAAACTTGAGTTTATTAATTATGAGTTCCAATTTGGTTAATTGGTTTAGATTAATAAGGAGGGCAGACATCATTTTAAAATCAAGTTTACGGCAGGTAAAAACCAAATAAAGCTTTATGTCAGCTCATTTTAATATCAGTAGCAGTTATTGGCTAGTAAGAGAATTATATGAATCCATACACGACCGAGCTGCCAACCCCAAGGCACGAGGTTTAAATCCACCAGCTTGTAAGGCCAGCTATGAGTCTGTTCCAATTTGATGGCTTGTAATACAACACACAATAACAATTTCTTTATAAAGAAAAAGAGGGAAAGCACTGGAATTTTAGATTTTATTACAATTATTGAGATGGAGCAGGTTCTTTTTCTTTCTACATAAATTTTTAAAGTGATAATTCCCATTTTTTTTTCCAAATAAAACATTTTAATAGAATTATCTTTATTATAAATTATAATGAAATGGAACTTCCTAATTGGTATGGCATGGTAGCAGTGAGGAGAAGACAACTATGGTTAAATATTTATAAAGTTAACAGTGGAGAAATTAGTCAATGGTTTTACAATATACTATTGTAGCAAAGACGGGCTCAAAGGGCCCCCTAAAGAAGAATATCTTCATCTATTTTTGATCCTTAGTAACAGACTTCTTTCTACAAAATCATTTACTTGGGCTTTTAAAGTTTTCAGAGGGAGCTGTGATGGTGACATAGTCTGTAGTGTGTTATGCTTCTAATCAAAAGGCTGTGAATCTCCAGTGATTCAGATTCACCAGGGGCTCCCACGGAGAGTCTCAATGAATTGGAATCAAGCTGATGGCAGAGAGTTTGAAGCTCTTCTCAGGACATCAGAGAAATCTTATCCCATTTGATTCAGGAATGATAACCTTCACAGTCATTCTGGAAATTCAGTGAGGACAATGGAAAGGGATTTAAATCCACATATTCACTTGGCAAGTTCAGTCACTGAGCTATTTTTCCGCATTGTGGGTTAGCCTTTTCAGTAAGGTGTGGCAGCAGGCAGGTAATTTTGCAATGCTTTTTGACATCTTAGCTTGATAGTTGATAAAATGTCCCAGATACATACTTCAGAACAGCTCTTCAAATCTAATTCATCATAAGCATGCTAAATATTTGCTTCACTGTTCAGTGTTTTCCCTCTTGAAATTCCTATAAATTGTGCAATGAACATAAGTTGGATTTTGGACAAATCATTCCTCTTAAATAATTTAACTTGTTGATTTGTGCCATTGAGTCACTTGAGACTCACAGTGTCGCTATAGACAACACCTCTGAACTCTGCTCTATCCTGAGCCAATTTCATTGTCTCTGACACACCTACCCCTGTTATCCCAGGCACTGAATCAATCCATCTCATCCACCTCCCTTCCTCTCTTGCCCTGTCCCTCCACCTTTCCAAGCATGATGCCTTTCGCCAAGGACTGGTCCCTCCTGAAACATGCCCAAAATATGTGAGGCAGAGTTTAAAAGATCCTTGCCTCTAAGGAGCAGCCTGGTTTCACCCTTTTCAGGACAGACCTGTTTGTTCTCTTAGCAGTTCATGGTATGTACAGTACTTCTCCAGCACCGCGATTCAAAGGCATGGTTTTTTTTCAGGCTGTACCAACTGGAATCATATGCCCTGGAAATGCTGAGTTCAGTGGACTCTTTGGCCTGAAATGACTCCTGGCTATTGGAGAGCAAGAGGGGGTGATGGCTTAGGTCTCTATTCTCCCAGAAGTAGAACTCCTCACATGTGGTGGAAGCTATTTATCTAGATTTTCTTTGGCCTTTGATTTTTAAAAATGTCTTTACAAGGTGAGGATACTTTTATACTGTGTTATATTTTCAACTAACCTGTGCAATACTGGAAAGCACCAAGATGCTTCTGTATTGCTATTTTAGCTATGTTCTATCTATAGACACACATTTTCAAATAAAAAGGGATATCCAAATGGATATAGTGTAATTAAATAAGGTTTATGAGGTTTCTGATTCAAATAACAAAGAAAGATGCTACACAAAGCAGGCCAGTTCACCTTTCAAGTATACTGTAGTATGTATGGGCCTAAGAGTATTTTAAAAATCTAGAGCAAAGTCAAAGTACATGACAGCAGGTGGAGTGAACTTCTCTGAATGTAAAACAATATCTGCTTGCATTTTTCAGAAACAAGAGGACTTCAACTGGCACAATATCTCCATCCCAATCTCCTTAATATTGTCTGAGTGGCCCAGTACAACAGTGGATGGCCAAGAGCAGGGGGCTCAGAGTCTGGTAGTTGTTGCATAGGATGTTGAAGTAGACCGCTCATCTTCAGAGGAACGGTAGAAGAAAGAAAGAGCGTAAGACCACATTAGCTGAGAAATAGCAGTAGCTGTCAGGGATGGAGGACTGGTTTCAGAAGGCATGGAGGACCCTAAGCCATAAGATCCTCCTCAAATTGTGTTGTGAAAAAGACCTGGCATCTGGCAGTATCTGCAGTGGCACCTTTGTATGCTACTCTATATACACAATCTATGCAGCAAGTGTTCTATAGCAAAATCCACCTCTAAAGCCTACAACAGAGCAGGAAAAGAAAAGATAAATAAATTAGAGTCCTGATTTCTGTTTTTGCCCAGAGTAGTGCCTTGATAGTAGTGAATTGACTGGAGGTAAAAGACTTGTGAAAGCAAGCCTATCTGATGAGCACAATTTCAGATGCTAGGGAGCACTGGTCACATAGTGGCAAGAAGCTGTGTTGCAATCCTGAAAGCATGCGGTTCAAACCCACCAGCTTCTGTGCGGGAGAAGGATGTGCAATCTCCTCCCATGTGATTAACTACCTTTAAAACCCACTGGAGGGTCAACTATGTGTCCGTTCCCACTCTACAGTACACAGCAGCAACAACAACATTATCATGTGTCAAGAAGCTAATTTACCTCATTTTAAACCACATATGAGATGCTGATCCCATTTTACTCTTACTTTTTTGTGCCTTAATATCATGACTTGCCAGAAATTGATGAAAGTTTATAACAAGAGAATAATTTCTAAATAATGTAGTAGCCTAAGTAGAGTGCTTGACCTAAGAGGTAGCTGTTATCCAAAAAAGCCAAAGCCTCCTTAAGTGTTGGGAATCCCTGGGTAGTGGAAATGGCTAACAATTTCACCTGGTAATTAGAAAGTTAGGAGGGCTGAAGCTGACTCAGAGGCACCTCAGACCAAGACTGAAGCAAGTCTGCTTCTGAAAAATCAGTCATGGAAAACCTTTCTGAATGCAGTTCTACGCAGGTACACATATATATATA